GCGGTTGGCGAGCAGAGCTGCCGTGGCAGGATAAGTGTGGGCCTACCCTGATGAGCTGTCGTGTGGGCCCTGCTCTACTGCTGCTGCCGGGCGGTGCGAACGTCTCACAGTGCTGCTGCCGTGCGGTGTGTGCTGCTGTCTAGTGCTGCTGCCGTGCGGTGCGTGCTGCTGCCTATGACTGCGCTGCAGCGCGCTGCCGGGCGGTGTGTCCATAACAGTAAGATGGCTGCTACATGCTCCTAATTTGAGCTTACAGGTGGTATGACCAAGTATAATACAAATCAAAGATTTATTGCAAATTTGCCACCATGTAACAATCCAAATAACACTAAAGAACAGTTTTTCCATGTTCATGCTTTCATGAGCCTCTAATTTCTTCAGTAATTAAATTAGTATCCCAAAAAGTAGTACAGATATATGCACCTTTCAAAGTTTAAATTAACCTATCCACCCTTATGCGGACTGAATAGATAAATGTCTAAACCTCAATCACAAAAGTGTAAAATAATAGAAATTTCTTGTTGGAAGTTAAAACAGACAAGGCACACAGTTAAGAAAAACATAACTAGATAAGTCAAAGCATTTGTCCTCACATTATTGCATATAAAGTGCATCCCAAAGACCAGATATCTGTTCTCTCATCAATGTCAGAATGGCTTGGACAGTCCCACAACTCAGGAGCCCTGAAAGGGGCTGAACAGTGCTCTGCTGCCCATTCCTATACAGCAGGCCATATAAAATAGACTGTTAGCACGTGGAGTGTGTCATGGATTCATATATGCAAACCTTGTCTAGTTCTACTGGTCAAAACTGACTACAAAAAGCAAAAAATGCAGTAGAGAATCAACAGTGATGTGACAATTTTCAAAAATAAAAGAAAAGACTAGATGCAATACCTAAAGTGTGTATATATGCATAGGTATAGAAGTTCATGGTACAACTGTACAACTAAAGTTCAGACAACAAAATCTGTTTTACTTAACATTTTAAGATGAAAAAATTTTTTGCATGCAAGATTAAAAGAGGATAAACACCCCAAAATGTGCATACTATTTTTTTTTTTTATCAATAACATCAATTTCATTAAATTAAGAGAATAGAGGGAAAGGAATACARAGGGAGATAAAATAACTTAGCTCCCCAAAAAACAGAAAACTCAGGGAAAGCAAAGAAAATTAAAAACTAGCCCAGAAAACAGCCTCCCTAGTCACTCCTTGC